AACTGCCTTCTCATCCTTTGTGAGGCTGCTGCAGAGAAGAGAGAGCATCCCCAGGATGGGGTGGGGGCTCTGGGAGCCGTTCCTCGTCTGGTCCAGGGCTGGTCTCCTGGATGCCATTCTCCCCAGTGCAGGTGAGCTGCAGGCGTCTTTGCTGCGGGGGCATCTGCTTCTCCAAGGGGCAGGGAGGAGGGGGCTGGCGGGAGCAACGTCTCGGGGGCTTCACTTCTCTCATGATTTCTGCCCTTCCCTCCTTCCCAACAAACGTCAAACTGCTCTCTGCAAGAATCTGATCTCAGCCTTCACACTGACTGAGAGCTGAGATCCCCATGTTGCATTTCCCGAGAGTAAGGCTGTGTTTCTAATTGTGGAAAATGGTATCTCTTATTAAAATAATTGCAGATGACTTTACACTGGTGGGCAGTGCATGCGTGTGTGTGCGTGTGTGTGTGTGTATTTGTGTGTTCTTTCCTTAAAGTTCCAGAGTATGTGCTCAGAAGGATGTGGGATAGTGGACATTCCATAGCACATAGAGCTGTGATGACTCAGGCAAGAGACACTTTGCTTTGTGGCCTCAGTGCCCCCATCTCTAAAATGGGGATAACAGCAATTACTATCTCATAGGGCTCTTATGAAGAGTAAACAAGGGATGTTGGAAAGCACCAAGTCAAGGGCACAGCACAAGACAGCTCCAAACGTAATAACTAGCTATTTTTATGAAAACTGTTACTCTTGACTTTGGGGCATCCAATGACCAAACTCAGGAGAAGGCTGTGTGCGGGCAGGTCGCTGAGATAATTCATCAGCGTGTTCTCTCTGTAGCCTCATCTTACCCCTTGCCCAGGACTAAATCCTATACACCTCTTCCCTATGTAGCAGCTGCCTGTCCCTGACCACTTCCAGAGCCCATTCGCCAGTGTTTTCCCTCCTGCGTGGGAGAGGCCCACTACGGGGGGGCAGGTCAATAGTTCAAGTAAGAAACAGGCTTTACTTTTTGCTTTTGCCTGGAAAACTTCTTTATCACGAGTCTTGTTTTGCCCTCCTGAACACCGCAAGCTTCAGCAGTGGCTGCCTGGGCCATTGTTGGCTCACAGAATGGCCAAGTGATGAGTGGCTGGTGTTGACATTCTGTCTGATCCTCTTTCCCCGGGCATGCAACCTCACTGCCCCTGGGTTGGGGATCGGGGGGTGGGGGGGCATCCTTCTCAGACCCACATCATGTCCTCAGCACTGTTCATGCCCACCCTGCAGGAAGAGCATTTGGTTGAGGCTTTCAGTGCCCCAGGCACCGTGCCAGACCCCAACTTTTCTTACTGCTAATGATAGCAGTATTATCACTGGCCTGGAAGGTATGGCCATCCTGGGGTGGGGGAGGGGGGGGTGTTTGAGGATCAGAGAGGTTAAGTGACTTTTCTCAAGCCACCCAGCTGGCAAATGCCAAAGCAGGGATTTACACCAAGTTTAATGGTCTGGTTAAGTTCATGTTTCAGTACAATCTTGTGTTATTTTTGTTTGGGAGTCAAGGAGGTAGAAATCTGTGCCTAGTATGTGACTGAATTGTTAACCTTATCTTGAAAAAGGTATGTTATCAAGGTCCGTGACTTAAAGATCATTGACAAATTTGTGGAGTCTTTTAGAAGATGATGGGGAGATTCTGGGGCTTTGAGAACTTGACTTTGAGTTAAAAGAGGCATGGGGGACAGAAGCATCATTATTCCTTGCTAGTGTGATGTCAAGATGGGCCATTCTTCTGGGTTCCTAACTCTGGGCTGAATCTGTTGGCACATTCAGCACATGAACAGTGATAGATACACATCCCATAACATTTCCGGGAGTCAGGGTCCTTATAAGCGGCTCTAGGTTGGAGGCCATCTCATGGGTCCAACTGCTGGAACACTCCTAACCTGACATCTCCTCAAAGCAGAGTGGGCTGACGATCTGTGTAGTCGGCACTCTGATACCTGTAACAGAAGATTCAACATCTTATTCCCCAATCAGTTGGCACTTAGGGTCCCTTGACTATAATCTCCGCAAAAGTGGGGACTATGTGTGTTTTATTCACCAGGGTTCGTGGGGCAATACCTGGCACATCACGGGCACTCAGTTAGGTGTTTGTTGAGTGAATAAACAGTAGGCAAAAATGATGGTCCACTGTCTGTCCCCTGCTGCATTCCTTCCTATATAAGCAGATACTGTAGGCTGCTTAAAGTCAGCTGGGCTGTGAAAACAGGACTGGCCACCAGGAGAGAGAGAGAGGAGATAGGAACCAAGCCTAAGGAGGATTTACACATGATTTTTATGTCCAGCATAAAGTTAGAATAACGTCTTTGAATTTTCACAGTGTATGTTTTCCAAGTTCTTCAAACTGCATCATCAGAAAACTAAGGAGAAAACAATAACACTGTTCCTCCTTTGCCAAGAAGAAATTGATATACAGGTAGATTAAGGTAATTGTCAAATTCAAACAGCCAAGAAATGAAAGAAGCGTAACTTGGATCCAAATCCAACAGCAAGGTCCCTGACTTTGGGCAATTAGAATTTTGACAAAAGAAAATTGTATGTTTACTTTAGTAGTAACTCCTTCCTTTTCGCACCAAAACATTTTGACCTGCTTCCATGACCGCGGCAGTGCCGGAGATGATTTTACGGGCTTTGCGGGGTGAGTTGAGATGACACGCGGTGGGAGCCCCCACCTCCACAGGCACGGGGAGGGCACGTTCGCCCCCTCTCACTTGTCCTTCCATCTTCCCTGCCTCGCGGGGGAAGCCCTGGAGGGCGTCCACAGAGGGCAGGCGAGGTTCCAAAGCAGCAGTACCAAAGTAGAATTTAATAGCAGTCTTTGGTTTTCATTGTATTTATTTTGACGTTTACCCGCTGTTTATGGAGGGAATGCTGATTTCATAATTAAGCAGTGACGTGAAGTTTCTTCTAGGCTTTTAGTTTACAAAGTCTCGAGGAAAGTCACGGTCCGGGAGGAGGGCGGGGGATAAGGCAAAACTGGCCAACTTGGTTCTTCAAAGACCGAAGCTGGGAAGCACCAGCTTTCCCACCCAAGAGCTGTGTATATCTGACTATAGTGCTCACATGCATCCCCTGGGGGTCTTGTTAAAAGTGAAGATTGTGATTCAGTAGGTCTGGGCTAGGCCCCAAGATTCTGCATTCCCTGTGAGGCCGATGCCCTGGCCCCTTGTGAATCAAGGTTTGAGCCACAGGTCAGCAGCGTCGGCACCACGGGGCACCTGGCTGGAGATGCCAACTCTCTGGCCCTTCCCGGGACTGGCTGTTTCTGTAGGCACAAGCCCCCCAAGTGGATCCTGGGCACATTCATGTTTGGGGAGTGCTGATCTAACAGCTCTGGGGAGTCCTCATGTGGGCGTAGTGAGCCCCTGTGAACAGGTCATTGGAGCCCATGCCTGACCTCCTCCGTGGAAGTGGGTTTCCATTTCCTGGCTTCCAGACCACCTACAGAGAGCTTGTGGGAGGGGGTTTCCAGGCCTGGGATGTCCTTTCTTGGTAACCACCCTGTATGGTCTCCAGACCTTTCCATTGCACCCCGCATGCCCACCTCTGCCCCCCTTTGCTTTCTGAGGCCCAAGTCCTCTGTGCAGGTGCCCCGCTGTCTGGATTCTCAGAGGCAGCCACTGGTGGCTGGAGCGTGGCTGGAGAAGGGACATCTATCTTTCTTGACTCCGCTGCTCCCAGAGGATATAATTTGCTTGATAGATGCATTCTGACTGCAGCTTCTCGGGGTGGGATGTAGAATTGTGCAAAAGGCTGGGTGCACGAGGCTTTAAAAAATAGCCACGAGGGGAGTAACACCTGGGGGACAAGCAAGGTGAGGAGGGACGTGCTCAGCGGTGTGGCTGGCTGCATGGGGAAGGAATGGGGATCAAGGTTCTGGGGTCTCTGAGAGGGGGGCTGTGGGCCCATTACAATGATGACAGCCGGTGGTTGGCATATTGTTATTTTAAAGCCACATCTGTCATCTTAAGCAGCCTTTCTCTGTTGGGACCTTGCTCTATATCCCTGCCAAGAGGGGAGTCCACTCCTCTCTTGAATGTGGGCTGACCTAATGACTTGCATGTCACCAGATGACACCATGAGACCTCCGAGACTAGGTCTGAAAAGACATTCAGCCTCTGCCTGGCTCTCTCGGACCCCCATTCTGAACTGAGTTCGCCAGGTGGAGACCTGGGCCGGAGGGTCAGTCGGACAAAGCAAACCATATCCCTGCAGGCTCCGTCCCCCTGACCCCCCTCCATCCCCTTTTACTCTTGGTGGTGTTTGCTTTCCATCCGCATGGGTGTTGTGGGCTCCCAGGGTGTGGGAGGGCTTGGGAGGGTGATGAGAGGAGGACGTGGATGCTTAATGCTGTCTGGTTTCTTGGCAGCAGCCCCAGAATTCTCCTTATTCCCCTTTTCCTTCCTTCCCTCCCTCCCTTTCTCTCAGTGTTCCTCCTGCCCAACCTTCCGTATTCTCAGGGAGGCTTTTCTTGCTCACTCTGCCCCCTCCTGGTGGAGAAGTGTCAGCGTGCCATGGGGTAAGGGAGGGAAGGGAAGAGCCCAGGGTTCTTTCCCCAGGTGGTGCCAACTGCTCATTCACCTTTGCTCCACATTGAGCCCATTTCCTTCCCAGAGCTGTGCTGCTGGCTGGCCTTGTCCCAGTCTGAGCCCCCCCCCCTCCCCGCCCCATTCTGCCCTTCGGCTCCTAGTTCACTTTGGAGCTCTGACTTCTAGGGTCTTTGTAGGTCAGCTTCGCCGCTGTTCTTTTATGCCCAGAATGGGGCTTTGCTGCTGACAGAAGGTTCTACAGAATCTCAGTAATTCTTTCAATCCATCTGCCCCCCCCCCCCCCCCCCCCCGCCGCTGGGCAGCCTGTTATTACCTTCTCCTTCCCCAGAGGCTGGATTCTCCACTGAGGGCGTGTGGGAGTGGCATTCTCGGGGACTACAGGCAACAGATGAGCGCTCAAGCCCTCACGCGTCTGTCTTTGTTTTGTTTCAGTTTTACGGAGTTTTTGGATCCATTCCAGAGAGTCATCCAGCCAGAAGAGATCTGGCTCTATAAAAATCCTTTGGTGCAATCAGACAACATACCTACCCGCCTCATGTTTGTAAGTACCACGATTTCATGGCTGATTTGACCAGTCTCCCAAGTATGAACCAAATGGGTTTTCATTTCTGCTTTTCTAACCCCTGCTGAAGACCATGAGCAGTCTGGAAGAGAGAGGAGGTAAGCAGCCCATCACATTGAACTCAATTCCAGATCGTGACGGGCGCCACTTGGTCACGCGAGAGCTAGTAATTGCCTGCCACATTGGAAAGAAAAGGGACCTCCTTACCTGAGCTGGGCCAAGTGGTTTACAGATATTTGCAGTAAAATAAGACTAGAGACCGATTTCCCTGCTCCATCTTCTTCGAGGATAAACCTCAATTTTGCCAAACTCAGGCACCATAGATAGCTCTGTTAATTGCTCTTCTGGTTCTATCTGGTCAGGTGACCACGGATGAGACCACCTTGTATGACTCAATCCCTGGATAGTGTTTTGTGCCTTTCTGCCTCTCGAATAAATGGGCCAGTGTCCAGATAGCTGGTGGATTATAGTGGCATTACTTCGACCTCTTCACCCTCACCCCATGGCAATTGAGACCTTTTATATTTCACTTCTGATGTGCTGGGCCCTTTGCTGAGAGCTTGAGAAAGAAGGATTATCTCATTGGATCTCATCCAGCATTCCAGTGAGAAAGCTGTCAGTCTTGTCCTCATTTGCAGGTGCAGAATTGCATCCCAGAGAAAGAGGGAACTTGCCCAGATCCACACAGCTAGTGAGCAGCAGAGCCAGGATTCAGATCTAAGCAGCCAGCTCTGAGCCTGGTCTCAGCCATGAGGCTGCCCTGTAGGGTGGGAGCCCAGTGTCCAGGACTCCTTGCGGATGCTGATTGCCTCCTGCGGAATTGCCATCAGGCCTTTCTGTAGCAGAGGAAATATTTAAGCTCCTCTTTGTTACAGAACAGTGATGTGACTTTTGGTTGGCCCGCCTTACAGCTTGAAGTTTATTCCTGTTGACCAGCCATTGTGTCTTGTGCCTCTGGGAACTTAACTGATTGGGTCAGAGATTTCTTCGAGCACATGAGGAATGTTTTTGCGTTTTGAAGGAAATCCCTCTGATTTTATGTAGGAAATCTTGTTAATTAGTGATGATTGGAAAGATCTTTGTGTCTGCAAACATCCCAAAATGCCCAGCACATTACATGAGCTTTGAAGTATTATTTTAATTGCTTTTTTTTTAAAGATTTTATTTATTTGACAGAGAGAGAAAGAGAGAGAGCACAAGTAGGCAGAGAGGCAGGCAGAGGGAGAGGGAGAAGCAGGCTCTCTGCTGAGCAGGGAGCCCGATGCGGGACTCAATCCCAGGACCCTGGGATCATGACCTGAGCCGAAGGCAGCCGCTTAACCAACTGAGCCACCCAGGCGCCCTTAATTGCTCTTTAATAATTGCTTTTCCACTGGAAACTAAACTGGATTTTTGTAAATTTTAGGGGAATTGAAGAGTTCAGGCATTACCTAACGCTTGAGTATGAAAATGAGACTTTTTCCATTTCTGCTGTAACTTAAATCTTCTATAAATCCTAGAAATAAAGGAACTAGCATATGTCTAACTAGTTTACTCCATGGTTTTGAAAGGGGGAAGCTCCTACTTACCACTTATCCCCCTTCCTCACAGGTTTCACATTTTATGTGCTGTAAAACACAATTTGGAGATTAAGGTTCATATGGGATAGTGTGAGAAATTTGTGGCTGTGTCCTAGATTTATGAACAATGGATTGTTTTGAAGTCTAGATACCAATGCCACAAATATTCTGGCTGCAGACACAAATAGGAGGGTGTGCATTTGCATGTTGGCAGGGGTGGATGCGAGGCAGTAAAGGAGTTATTCAGTGCTGTGATTCTCAGAGAATAGAAGTGTATTCATCCTCAAATCCTGATTCCTACCCTTGAGTCTCCTAATGAGATAAGCTCAGCCTTTTGTTTTGTTAATAGTAGTTGATGCATTTCATTCATTTGGTCACAAGATTTCATGCAATTCCATAATAACACAAGGAACGCAATAGATACATTTATAATGTAACACAAAGCGGAAAAATACTTTGTCACCACATTAATTAGATTTTTTTTCCTCCTGGATTTTAGTAAGAGTTTAATATAAAATATCATTTGTTTGCTTTGATCCTTTAAAACCTTCAGATGTTAATGGAAGACTGTAATAAAACATGTTTTTATTTTTTTAAACTATGTTGCTTTCCTTAGAAAGCTCAAGTGTTGCTACTTAATACATAAACCAAATCCTAGGGTCTCTTTTACTTTTGGTTGGAATGTTTTAATCTAAAGGCAACCTTTTCAACTTTCAAAGCTTTATTGAAAGGCAGCTGGTAATAACCCAGATGTCTTTTGACTGGGAAATTAGGCCTCTGGAGGGGTGTTTGTGTGTGTGTGTATGGGTGTGCATGTGTGCATTTTAGAGTAGCCACTTGTTCAGATCAGAATGGTAGGGGATTGGGCGCCTGGGTGGCTCAGTTGGTTAAGCATCATGATCCTGGAGTCCCGGGATCGAGTCCCGCATCGGGCTCCCTGCTCAGCAGGGAGTCTGCTTCTCCCTCTGACCCTCCCCCCTCTCATGTGCTCTCTCTCATTCTCTCTCTCAAATAAATAAATAAAATCTTAAAAAAAAAAAAAGAATGGTAGGGGATTGAGTTAAACAGAGTGAATGGTGATCACATCACCACGAAGCGCCCCCTCATTTGTTCTGCCTTTGGCACTTTCAGTGAAGATGACTCTGTCAACCTGGAAGTTGAATGTAGTTGGGTTGTTTGATTCTGAGAGTTTGTTTCCCTTGATGACTCTGGGTTCCTGTTGAGCAGAGGGACAGGCTGAGAAGTCTTTTTACATATACTGAGTCTTGGATTTGCATTTCCTGGATGTTCGCAGACCATTAGCTGCCTTTATGGAAGCCTGCTCCCTTATTCGAAAGATGTCATGGTTCCTTCCTGAGTATGTGGGGTTTATTGTAGCATTTTTGAAAATCTACTTTTTGGTGTAGGAAGACTTTGTGCTGGTTTTTGCTTTTTAGTATATTCTTTTTGCTGTCTTCGTAGTTGTGTCTTTGTACATTCAGAGAACACTTCCAGGAGCCTGCTGTGGGTAAGGAAAGCCATAGGAGCTTCAGGTGATGGGAAGTCAAATCAGGCCTGGGTGGGAGGGATATCCTTAGGGATCCTGTAGGCTCCTCGGGGAGATGGCACTCTAAAGAGAAACAGAATCTAGGAAGGGCTAGAGGCTCGGGTAAACTTGTAGGGAGATTCATCATCACCATCATCACCACCATCATCATCACCATCACCCTTATTGTCGCCACCATATTCATCACCATCACCACCATCATCATTATCATCATCACCATCATCATCATCCTCACCATCATCACCACCATCATCATCATCCTCACCATCACCATCATCACCACCACCATCATCATCACCATCATCACCACCACCATCACCACCACCACCATCATCAGCACCACCACCATCATCATCACCATCATCACCATCACCACAACCATCATCACCACCACCACCATCATCATCACCACCACCATCACCATCATCATCATCACCACCATCATCATCACCATCATCATCATCCTCACCATCATCATCATCACCACCACCATCATCATCACCATCACCACCATCATCATCACCATCATCACCACCACCATCATCACCACCATCATCATTCTCACCATCACCATCATCACCACCACCATCATCATTCTCACCATCACCATCATCACCACCACCATCATCATCACCATCACCACCATCATCATCACCATCATCACCACCACCATCATCATTATCATCATCACCATCATCACCATCATCATCATCATCCTCACCATCACCATCATCACCACCACCATCATCATCACCATCATCACCACCACCATCACCACCACCACCATCATCAGCACCACCACCATCATCATCACCATCACCACCATCATCATCACCATCATCACCACCACCATCATCATTATCATCATCACCATCATCACCATCATCATCATCATCCTCACCATCACCATCATCACCACCACCATCATCATCACCATCATCATCACCATCACCCCTATTGTCGCCACCATATTCATCACCATCACCACCATCATCATCCTCACCACCATCATTATCATCACCACCACCATCATCATCACCATCATCACCACCATCACCATCATCACCACCACCATCATCATCCTCACTATCACCATCATCACCACCATCATCATCATCCTCACCATCACCATCATCACCACCACCATCATCATCATCACCACCACCATCATCATCACCATCATCACCACCACCATCATCATCATCCTCACCATCACCATCATCACCACCACCATCATCATCACCACCATCATCATCATCACCACCACCATCATCATCACCATCATCACCACCACCATCACCACCACCACCATCATCAGCACCACCACCATCATCATCACCATCATCACCATCACCACAACCATCATCATCACCACCACCCCTATTGTTGCCACCATATTCATCACCATCACCACCATCATCACCATCACCACCATCATCATCATCACCACCATCATCATCATCCTCACCATCATCATCACCATCACCACCATCATCATCACCATCACCACTATCATCATCATCATCATCATCATCATCATCATGGCAGTAACAACAAAAACCAACGTCTCTTGAATACAGGAATTGTGCTCGCCACTTTACAGTGGCATCTCAGATAATCCTTCTCACCATCTGTTGAGGTCAGCACTTTTGTAATCCCATAATTTCAATGGAGAAAATGAAACGGCAGTGAGATTTAGCAACTTGTCCAAGGTTATACAACCGCCAGTTCCTGGACCCGGATCTGAATGCCAGCTGCCAGAGGGTGGACCCTCACAGACCCATCCGACTATGATGTTTTGGTGGGGACTCGGGGGATGTGGAGAGGGGGTAAGTAGCGGGTCACACATGGAAGAGCTGGTGGGTAAAGGCACA